GTAAGCGAGGGAACCACTGACCTTGCGGCCAAAGCTCTCCCCAGTGGGTGATGTGAGGCTCCCTTCCCACCCGTCTTGTTCTAGGGCGGCTTGATCCTCGTTTCGCACGACGAACGCTTCATCCGGCTGGTGTGCAAGGAGCTGTGGGTGTGTGGCAGCGGCACCGTGCAACGTATCGAGGGCGGCTTCGACGAGTACAGAGACATCTTGCAAGAGCAGTTCCGGAAAGAAGGTTTCCTATAAAGGCGCCCAGCTGTGTGCGCGAGCTGGCGGAGGGAGTGGAACACGCCCGATGGAATCGCCGGTGGGGGGGGGCGGGATTCCACTGCCGTTGGGCGAAACAACTGCCGAGCTGAAACACCCCCCCCTCCTCCTCCTCCTTCCCCCCTCTCCCCCGAGTAACCAGCATCCGCCGGGAAAGAGAGGACGAAAGTAACCCAAGTTGCCAACTCCGCTGCTGGATCTGTGCCAAGTCTCTGCTGGGCAGGGACAGAAGGACAGCTGAAGGGAGAGGTTATTTTGGGGGGGGGGGGGGGCAGGGGGGCCCCCAGGGCTGATTTAAGGGGGTGGGAGTTGGGATGGGGGAAGAGACACGGCTGCTCCGAGCTGTCCCTGTCTCCCCCTCACCCCATCCAGCCTGTCGGTAGAACTGAACCCACCGCCGAGGAATGTAAGAAGGCTTCAGGCGTAAATAAATGTTGCACGTTTGAGTAGCTTCTCCTGGAAATGGGCTGGAGCCGCAAAACCGTCCTTTGGAAACTGGATCGTTTCTTGCCGCCTTCTCCCCCTCTTAATGGGAAAGAGTTGCAGCCCCTCCAAGCAAGCAAGCAAGCAAGCAAGCCAGGTTCTCTTGAAATGGCTTCTCTCTTTCTTTTTTCTTTTTTCCTCATGGCATAGCCTTAAATTTCCTCCCCTTTCCTGCCTCCTCCCCGCCCGACCTCAGACGGTGATGCTTTTTGTAGAGGTCTCCAAACTTGGCAATTTTTAAGGCTTGTGGACTTCAACTCCCAGAATTCCTCAGCCAGCTATGCTGGGACTCTAGAACAGGGGTTCCCCAAACTGGACAACTCTTAAAAGACGTGTGGACTTCAACTCCCAGAATTCCTCAGCCATGCCGTGTCCGTTTCTTTTTCTCTTTATCTCCCAAAGAGGAGGGAGATTGGAGAGGAAGGGATTACACGAGAGAGTTTAAGCTGTGCTGGATGGAGAATTCTGGGAGTTGAAGTCCACAAGTCTTTCAAGTGGCCACGTTTGGGGACCCCCCCCTGCTTTTTTGTACGGGGATTAGGAGCCTGTCTTCATTTCTGATCTTGACCCGAGGTAGACGCATCACAATACAAAAAGCGACACTTACTGTATGCAGGGTACAGGATGGTGGAAATGCAGCAGTTTTTCCTCTTCTTCCAGAAGGGAGTGGGCTTGGCTGTTGTTGGTTTTTTTGGGGGTGGGGTTGGGGTTGGGGGTGGGGCTTATATCTAAAAATGGCCTCCCAAGTCTCTGTAGGTCTAAACTCCCATGTAGGGTTAAGGTCTGTCCCAGCTAACGCACCATGTCTTGAAAATAAAATGAAGTGGTTTTACATTGCACCATTACACTTTCAGTCCCCCCCACCCCCCGTTCATCAGCACTGAGATCGCTGTGTAAATAAATTGGATCTCTCTGGTCTTGGATTTCCTTTATTTTCTTTTTTTTTAGCAGCATGGGTAGTTTTAAACCGGGGCGGAGGCAGAGGTGGTGCTCAGCGGGTTCTGACCAGTTCTGGAGAACCGTTAGCGGAAATTTTGAGTAGTTCGGACAACCGGCAAATCCCACCTCTGACTGGCCCCGCCCCCATCTCTTCTCTGCCTCCCATTGAGTCCCAGCTGATCGGCTGGGTCTCCTTTGGTTGCCCTGCACAGGAAAACAGAGCTGGAAAGCAGGCTAGTGGGGTGGGGTGGGGTGCGGGTCAATGGGGATTTTGCAGTATCCTTCCCCTGCCATGCCCACCAAGCCACGCCCACAGACCCAGTAGTAAAATCCCACCACTGACTGGAGGGGAAACGTCCACAAGAGTTGATTGTATACAGGTAGTATACAGGTGAACCACAATTGAGCCCCAAATTTCTGTGGCTAAGCGAGGGGTTCAATGAGTTTTACCCCAATTTTGCAACCTTTCTTGCAACCGTGCCTAAGTGAATCACTGCAGTTGTTAAGTATGTAAGCCGGTTGTTAAGTGAATCTGGCTTCCCTATTTACTGTCCTTGCCAGAGGGTCACCAAAGGGGATCACGCAACCCGGGGACGCCGAAACCCTCACCAATATGAGTTGCCGGCAGAGGTGATATTCAGCAGGTTCGGACCAGTTCTGGAAAAGTCCTGGAGTAGGTTGGAGAACCGGCAAATGCCGCCACTGACTGGCTCCACCCCCATCTATTCTCCGCCTCCCATTGAGTCCCAGCTGATTGGCTGGCTCCTTTTTGGTTGCCCTGCACAGGAGAACAGAGCTGGAAAGCAGAATAGTGGGCTGGGGAGGGAATGGGGATTTTACAGTATATCCTTCCTCTGCCACGCCCATAGAACCGGTAGTAAAAAAAAATTGAATCCCACCACTGGTTGCCAGGTGTCTGAATTTAGACCATGGGGATGCTGCAATGGCCGTAAATGTGAAAAACGGTCACAGGTTGCTGCAGAGCTGTTGTAATTCCGAACAGTCACGAAATGAGCTGTTGTAAGTCGAGGACTACCTATGCACAAAGTCAGAAGGCGCATTTGTACGGTGGAACGAATCAGACCTTGGTCCGGCGTTTGCTAAACGTCTTGGGAGCAGTCCTGAAAAAACATTGGTTAAGAATGCTGTAGCGTGCAGAATACAGGTAAATCCTCCCCTTACGACCACAGTTGAGCCCCGAATTTATGTTGCTCAGTGAGAAATTTGTTCAATGAGATTTGCCCCCATTTTATGACTTTTCCTTGCTCTGCTTGTTAAGTGAATCACTGCAATTAGTAATCTGGTTGTTAAGTGATTCTGGCTTCCCCATTGACTTCGCTTGTCAGGAAGTTGGGGAAAGTTTGATGACTCCAGGACACTGCAACCGTCGTGAATGTGAGTCGGTTGTTAAGTGTCCGAATGTAAATCACATGCTGCAACGGGTGTGAAAAACATAAGTCACTTTTCTTCAGTGCCATCATAACTGTGAACGGTCACCATATAAACTGTTGTAAGTCAAGTACTACGTGTAACAGATAGTCCTCGACCCAGGTTTCTAATTCAGCCCAAAATTATGGTTGCAAGTGGGTCGTCGAATTTTTTTAGGACTTTTTTTGCAGCATACAGCCCCCATGGTCATTAAACAAATCTGCGGGTGTTCAATGAACCCGTGGTCTATAATTAGTGTATTTTGCTGGAAAACCACAAGTAAACACCATTTTTCCAGCAAAAAAAAACACCCCAAAACGTAAATTGCAATCACCTGATCAGGAAGTGCTGCAAAAGGGCCATAAATGCAGGTTGGTTGCCAAGCACCCAGAATGCAATCGCATGCCTAAGGGAAGGGCCCAGCCATTGGAACTTTGAATCCAGGTCATCTGTAACTTTATTTGGGTCCGTTGGAACTTTGAATCGTCGTTAAATGACCAGATGTAGGTGGAGGTCTCCCTATACCAGAGGTCTCCAAACTCCAAACAACTTTTAAGACTTGTGGGTTTTCAAACTCCGGGAGTTGAAGTCCACAAGTCTTAAAGTTGCCAAGTTTGGGGATCCCCGCCCTCTATTCACAGAGAATAGGCTGGATATTAAGAGTATGCAATATGTGTATGTCAAAAAAAAACAGGCCTGAACACTGTCTTGTCTACATTCACACAACATACTGAGCCTGGGTATCAAAGTAAGTCATCTTTTTTTATATGCACAATAAACCAGGCTTGTTCTCCCAGCCTACTAAACCACAAATATTAACCATGCTTTACTCAGAACAGAATAGAGTAACAGTTGGAAGGGACCTTGAAGGTCTTCTAGTCCAACCCCCTGCTTGGGCAGAAAACCCTATGCCATTTCAGACAGACAAATTATGTTGACCTCCGTCTTTAACCAGTCTGGTTAAACATGTTGGATAAAACATCGATAGACAAATGAAACTGCCAAAAATAAAAACAAACTCCTATATTGAATCAATGCCCATAAATGTCTTGTCGTAACAGCCATTTTGGTATTTCATTTGGCCGCTCTGGATGAAGAAAGGAGACCTATAATAGTCCCTCAATGTTCATTTGTTTTCCTCACTCTTCACTCTTAAGTGGAATTTCCATCCTTCGATTGCGGGATTTCTGTATACGTTTCTTTAAATGCAATGCAACATCCCTTGTTCTGTTCATTTTCAATACATTATAGCCATACAAAGGTGCTGCACCAGTCGTGAGAAGCTTCCACAACATTGAAAAAAAAAGATGTTGAGGCTAGAAAAATTTCAGAGAAGAACAAAGATGATGAGGGAACTGGAGGCTAAACCGTAAGAACGGTTGCAGGAATTGGGTACGCCGAGTTTGGTGAAGATGACATGATAGCACTCTTCCAATATTTTAGGGGCTGCCACAAAGAAGAAGGAGTCAAGCTATTCTCCAAAGCACCTGAGGGTAAGACAAGATGCAAAGGATGGAAACTAATCAAGGAGAGAAGCAACTTAGAACTAAGGAGAAATTCCCTGACAGAACAATTAATCAGGGGAACAACTTACCTCCAGAAGCTGTATAATAAGAATAATACAAGCTTTTATTTTAATGTTGGATAACCATTTGTCTGGAGGGGTGTAGGGTTTCCTGCCTAGGCAAGGGGTTGGACTAGAAGACCTCCAAGGTCCCTTCCAACTCTGTTACTTTATTTGAGGGATCCCTATGATATTGTCTTCCTCTTTATTTCTCTAGCTTATTTTGGGTATCCATGGATGAAGGGATCCTTAAGTGGCAGATAATTGCCCATTATTTCCTGTACTTTAGTGAATACTTGAGACAAAAGCTTGAGGGGAAATTATGCGCCATCCTGAAAGTGCAATTCAAAAGAACTTTTAGGTTGTGAAGACAGAAAACGGGGCTATTTGGAGACCCAAGAATAAAGGAGAAGGCTGCCCGATAATTATCCATTTAGGATATTTATTAAATATATAAGTTTACTCCATTCTATTGGGACTCTGGGAAACATATAATAATACCGTTGCTCAAAATACTAGTGAAAACACATCCAGGGACTTCTTGTTGTTAAAACCTCCACTTTACAGAGTTTTTTAAAAAGTTGACCTTGAAGAAGATTTGCAAACTGTTATCAAAGGAACAAGGGAGGAAACTTATCTTAAATCCACCAAGGGCAAATACAGTCTTTGTAAGCAGCCCAAACACCTCCCTAACTCACCAGAGTAGGAGAAAAGGGAGGAGGCCCGGCAGAAACAGACTTCCAAGGTTCTGTAATTATAGCCATTCTCAAAATAATAATAATTTCAGACCTCCTTGTGGGGAATTGATTTCCTGACCTGTTTCTAACTATTGAGGTTGATATAGGCAGGTGGTTCTCAACTTATGACTGCAATGCCCCCCCCCCCCCAAATTTCTGTTGTTAAGTGAGATGTTTGTGAAGTCAGTTTTGCCCCTATTTCATGCCCTTTCCTGCCACCGTTGTTAATTGAGTCCCTGGAGTTGATTTAAAAAAAGTTAGTATCCCGGTTGTGTAGCGAATCCGGCTTCCCCATTTTGACTTTGCTTGTCAGAAGGTTGCAAAAAGGGGAATCGCGTGACCTGAGGACACAGCAACGGTCATAAGTATGAACCGGTTTCCAAGCGCCTGAATTTTGATCATATGACCGTAGGGAATTGTACAGAGCTCTTAACGGTGGAACATGGCTGTAAGTCGCATTTTTCAGTGCTGTGGTAACTTTGAACGGTCACTAAATGTTGTAAGTCAAGGACTACCTGTAGAAAATATCTGTCACTTAGACAACCTTGAACTACGCTGGGCTAAGATTGGATTTAAAGCATAGTACATAAAATCATATGTTATAGCGTCTTACCTGTTAACGA